CACAACACACATACGTGTTATTGCAGTGAACACAACATGAAGTTAATTTTCTTTTAATTTTTTATTAACAAAGGATTTATTTGTTTGATCACGTTTTTCTTGTATAAAATTTTCGCAAAAATGTCAACGTTAATTTTCTCAGCTATGTATTTTTCTTTTTTTTTTTTTTTTTACAGAAGAATTTTTAGAGAAGAATTTTCAATCATAAAGGGCGCCGCCTAAACTTCACGGGCCTGCGACTAAATTCGGGATTGGCTAGCCGTTTCATTATTATTCGTTTCGCTCGCTCTCCACTCGACTCGAGCACATCGCTTCGCCGACCATCACTCGTTGCTCGGCAACCTCTGACTCGCGACGTGTCGTTATATGATGGCGGCGTGGGTGGATAACCCCCCTCTAGTGCGGAAGGTTCAGTCTCCGCTTCCTCTTCTGTCTTTTCTCTCTTTCTCTCTCTCTCTCTCTCTCTGTATCTTCTTTTTTTCTGTTCTTTGATTGCTAATTAACGTTGATGAGCGAAATTTGTTGACCAAACAATGGTCGTAACAAACCTTAGTTAGCGTCTTGATGACGCTATCAAATCTCCACGAATGAGGTGGCATAAATAAGGAGGGGGAGTGATACGACGGAGTGAATCACTACTGTAACTACACTCCCACGGATGTGTACAGCGTTGTTGTGGCAGGAGATTCTGACAACAACTTATATACCTGCGAGATCATTGTGCTTCTACGATAAAACTCTTCGTGCGAGACATAAAAATATACGAACGAAGGAAACAGATAAAATTATCGTCTTGTAGCACGCGAAAGATTAATTAACGTGAGATCGCAATTTTATTTTCTACAGATAAAGAATTTGATTGTCATCGCGTTACGCGTATTGTTTACAGTCGTCGTCGTAGAGCTAGATCGCGTAGAATCGAAACGAGACTCGTCGGGATTGGATATCCATGACCGTTAATTGTTTTATCGCGATCTCTCGCATACAATCTCGCATTCCGAACAATTAGCCACGTCCCGTAAATATCTCGTGAATTTGCGTCGTAAATTTGTTCGCATCATCAGCTTCATATAATAACACGTGTGTTCTTCCATTCTAGATTCTACATCGCCGAAATAAAGTGTTTCAAATGTTGTAAAAATTGTAAAAAAAAATACTATTAAAGAAAAATTATTTTCTCGTTAAACGTATCCGAAACACACACACTTGGCACGCAATGAGGTTCTAATTCAAAAACAGGATATTACACAGGCATCTCTACGAGGAAACTTCTTCGTTACCACTTAGCAGTAGTCAAAGCTGTTTATCGTCAGCCATTATTCTCAACCGTAAGTGCGATGAAATATTTACCGCGACGTAACTGCGATAAAATGCAAGTTACACAATGTTTAAAAGAAAAAAACCAAAAAAAAAAAAAAAAAAAGAAACTAGTATGTGTATTCGAGCACACGTGTAGCCAATGTAACTTTACGTTTCTACTCTACGTTCTGCCGCGTGAGTTCCCTCGAGAAAGTTGAAGTGATGTAGTGCCTTGGACTAACTTCTAAGAAAATAATCCGAGTTAATTCCATCGGTACTACATCTCGAGCTACAACTTGTAGCGCTAATTTCAGGACTCTCGTGGAAAGAGAATGGACACGGCCATACGCAATAAATAAATCCAATAAGCAACACGCGAGTAAGAGCGAAATCGAGGAGAGAGATCGAGGGGCCGAGCAACCTAAGCGGGGACGGGGGGAGAATCACCGGCAAACGGAGATAGACAGAACTCGAGGATAACGCGAGGGTGAGAAGAGGAACGAATAGAAACAGGACGGGGAGAAACGCCACGGGAACGAGGCGCAACGATGAAGAGAGGAAAGGAAGGGTGGAAGAGCAAGAGGGAAGCGCGCGCGTTGGACGGCGCGCTATCACAAACCCCGCCGGCGAACGCGGCAGGATGCCGAGGTCGACGCTATCGATTGGCGTCGGCGTTTCCTCGTCGGTATCTAGCGGCCGGTGTACTCTCTCTCTCTCTCTCTCTCTCTCTCTCTCTCTCTCTCTCTCTCTCTCTCAGGAAACGAACAACGAAACTGTTGGAGTCGCGAAGTTTATTAGATAATATCTAGATATAATTTCAACAATCAAGTTTTAGCGGGAAACCGCGCGCGGTGCTCTCTCTCTCTCTCTCTCTCTCTCTCTCTCTCTCTNCTCTCTCTCTCTCTCTCTCTCTCTTCCTCCCTTTCTCTCTCTCCCTCTTCTCTCTATCTGCCGCGGGGAAACTCTCACCCCTTCACTACGTTTCACTTCACTCCCTCGCTCTTCCGCCCTTCCTTCTCATCCACCCACCGCGGTAACAGGTGTTGGTCTGGCCCCGAACTCGTACAAAATCGATGGGCGAAAGCCAGATCGGCGTTGTGAGGGCTTTCCCCGCCGATCCACCGTTCCCCCTGGTCTCTGCCGGCCTTTCCTCCTCGGTAATCTCCGCCATCCTCTCGATCAAGAGAAAGAGGAGAGGGTGGCGCGCGTAAGAACACAGGGGGAGCGAGAACGAGAAGCGCGGGACGACGCCGCGCTGCAGCCGACGGAGGAACGACGGGGAGGTGGGTTTACGCGAGGAATTGCAGAAGGAACGAGAGGGTGAGAACGAGGGAGGGAAAAAGAGGGAGAGGGAAAGAGCGCTGCACACGAGCGCGTTCTCGAGGACGCAGGCGCCCGGGACACGGGACGACGCTCGTCGACGACGCTGCATTGCCAGTTGCACCCCAGCCACACCCGGTACGAGTCATGTAGTCGGGCTACCCTCCACCGCGATACACGGCGGACAATTGTTGCTTCTGCGCCTACAGGTGGTACATCTTCGTCTTCGATCTTCACGGAGCTCGTCGGTGTTCGCGTCCGCCGCCGCCGGTGTCCGGAGGTTCCGTCGTCGTCGTTATTGTCTTCGTTGTCATCGTTCTTGTCGTCGTAATCGTCGTCGTCTTCGTCCTTGTCGACTCATCGCTCGCTCTCGTTCCACGTCACCGTAACCACCACTACTACCACCACCACCAGTACTACCACCACGTTCGCTGCCGCCGCCGTTGTCGTCGTCGTCGTCGTCGTCGTCGTTGTTGTCGTCGTCGTCGTCGTCGTCGTCGTCGTCGTTGTAGCCGTCGCGGTGTTCGTTGTCGTGGTTACGCTTCGTGTATATCCGTCCGTCGAGCGAGACTAACCTGTCTGTGTGCCTGTTGGAGCATAGCCGACACGTCGAAAGACCCGACTGAGAGTTTCGTCGGGTTCGTCGCAAGAATTTGCGAAAAAGTTGGTGAGACGCGAGAGTGCCATGAAGCCGTAAGGGGGAAGTGTAGCTCCGGGCGCTCTCACCAGCCAAGTCGCTTTCGACTGCGTGTGTGCACCGAGAAGGGAGTGAGAGCGAGACGGGGGTGCGAAGGGGCGCGCGCGGGATTTCCGGGGTCGCGGAGAGGGCTAGAGGGAGCTATCGACCACACACGTAAGGCGGCGGCGGCAGCGCTCGCACACACCGGCGCACACGGATACACAACATCGCGGACCTGTTGTCCAACTTGTTGCTCGTCCCTGCAAAGGCACACCCGCCCACCTCCGGAGTCGAAGGAGAACTTGTTTTCGAAGAGGAAGAAAGTGGCTGTCGCGAAGGATCGCATATCAGAACGGCGCGCCCGGACGATCGAGCCCCGACCCCGGAAACGCGAACGAAGAAGGCGAGGAATATGGCGAGAGAGAACTGAAACACAGCGGAGGGGAAACATTTCAATACATATTTGAATATATTGAGCGAGGAGCGTGAAGAAGACGAAGAAGAAAGAAATTTTCATATAATACAATTAATTACATTACAAATTTTTACTCCATGTATAACTTTTTGAACGAAAGAAAGAAGACCCACTTCCTTTAATCACAAAAGTTATTGGATCTCGTTTCGAGGAAGAGCTCATTTCTCTACATCGCATTTTCACTCTCTCCGTGCATTAATAGAAGACGCATCGAAATAGACGTACGCATCAGAAAAAAAACCTTCTCTCTTTCATCCCTCAGGGTAGAATATCCGTTTCCTGCGGATTCAAAGGAAACTAATGGCGCGCGCCGAGTAATTCAGAGGACCAACTCCTTATAGAAACTCAACTATTCACGAAGCTCCAAGTTTTTACGTTTATGGAACTCTGAAAAGGAGTAACCCAGCACACCCCCTCCCGGTTTCGGGATCCCGTATTTGGGGCGAAATAAAAAAATAAAAAAAAAATAAAAAAAAAAAAAA